CCTCCCCCACCCCCAATAAAAAAAAAAAGAAAAAGGGGGATGAAAAAAAAGATTTTTTATGTTTTTTTCCGTTGAAATTTTGTCGTTTTTTCGAAAGTAATAATAATAATAATAATAATTTAAAAACTAATTTGTCATCTGCTAATTTACCAAAAAATACTCTATAATTAATAAAATCTTTTTTAATGATGATAATAATAATTTATGGAAAATTTAAAAAGTTTATGGTTTTGTTGATTTAAGGGTTGATGAGTATTTTACGAAATATTTATAAAAATTAATAATAATAATGATAATAAGGGGTGATTATTTCCAGGTGGTTGTGTATTAGGGAAAAGTAAATTACCCTTAAATGTCTGCTTTTTTTTTATCATTTTACGTATTCACCCACCGTGAAATTGACAATTTTCCGTTAAAATGAACTTATTAATATTAAATAAAATTCGTGTACCTTAAAACTAAGGTCAATTCACATTCATTCAACTTTATTATTATTATTATTATTATTTATTTTACTTTTGCCAAGAAAAAAAAAAACACAAAACACAAAATTATTGAACCGTGTTATCAGGTATCGTACCTCAAATCACCTCGTCTGTGTTTTTTTATCATATTACGTCACTGTTTTTTTAAACATTTGTTAAAAACAACATTTTAATTCAAAATAATAATGGCTTCCTTTATTAATAAATTAATAGAATTCAATAATAATAATAATAATAATTATTATTATTAAAATTATTAATAAATTATTTTAAATATGTTAAAATAAAAAAAAACGAATTCTCATTCAAATTAACTCGTAATAATTTTATTTATTTATTTATTAGAAATACATAAAAAACGTGATTTGACGTTAATAATAATAATAATAATAATATTATTATTTATTTTAAAATTTTGTATTATTATTATTATTATTAGGAAGGCACAAATAATAATGGATTTATAATAATAATAGTTTTTTTTTTCTATGTTGCATAATATCATCTATTCATTTAACCAATGACGAAAATAAAATGTAAAAGTATTAAATACCATAAATTATCATTATCATCATCATCAAATTTAATTTTCGTGAGATTTCGTGGGGGGTGGGGTGGGGAGGGGGATTATCGATAACAAATATATTATATTATGTACGTAAATGTCACAATTTAACGTTTTTTATCATTGAAACCATGTAAATTACATTTATATATATTTTTTTCAACTGGTCAAACAACTTGTATCCTTCCTTTACATTAAATTACTTTCAAATAAAATAATTAAGGTAAAATTATTATTATTATTATTATCATTATTAATAATTTTTGTTTGTTGTTTTTTTAATGTTTGTAATCGAATGAAATAATAATAATAATAATTCATCGTATGTACGTATATAATTAATTTAAATTAATTAATTTTTATATTACAAGGTGATTGATTGAAAAATAATAATAATAATAATAATTTGTGTGTGTGTGTGTCTGTTACAATCGAATATCACACGTAAATCATTAGATAGGTACTGGTACCGCCTACCAAAACAAAGAAGGAAGTCGAGTTAAATTATAAATATATATTTTTTAATTACCAATGTAAAAGTCTTCATGAATGACATCCATAACGGTGTATTTTCTTTTTTTTTTATCATTTTTTATAAAAAAAAAATCACTACCACTTTTTAAACATATTTTTTTTTTTATTATAACAAATTTTTAATAACAACACTTATTCGACCAAACTGAGTAGCAATAACATACACGGATAAGTCACGTGGTCAAAATTTGTTTTAATTATTTATAACAGATGACGCTAGCGTGCAGGTACGGTAATATTAATTTTATGTTGTTAAGTTATTACAAATAGTATAACTCATAATTTTTTTGCAAAAAAAAAAAAAAAAAAAAAAAGGTAATGACGGGTTTTTCCTTTTTTCTTTTTATTAATATAAATAAATATATTTTTTAAAAGGAATAAAAGTATATTTTGATAATAAAAAAGAAAATATATCATGCGATTTTATATTATTATTTGCGCCATTAACACAATTTTATTAATTTTCCGTGGTACATAATAATAATAATAATAATAATAACGGTAAACGCAATATTAAATTCTAAATTAAAAACATTAAACTGAAAAGTTGTTACATATAAATATAATAATAAATAAATAATTATTAAAATGAATTACAAGAAGAAAAAGTAGAATGTGTAAGAAATCAACATTATCATTATCGTTTCATCAAAAGTAAAAAAAAGTTTTTAAATAGTTTACTTATTTATTTATTTATCAAAGCTTTTTAAAATTAGCAATTACATGCAAGTGAATTAAAGACATTTTAATTTTTTCTTTTTTTTATTACGTGCATTTTTCGGTAAGGAAATATTTTTTATAAATCCATTAAAAGAATATATTTAAAAAAGACTCGTTAAATTTGAAATTAAATCTAATGCCACGTTAACATGTCAACAAGGTTTGTTTTGACGCAAAAATTTTCATTGTAATAATTTTATTTCTTATAAACGTTTATTTTATTTTTTTTTTTTGTTTTTGTTTTCGTGTTTTATATATAATGTTTTATGAAAGAAAAAGAATGTTTTTTATCAATTTCAATAATCATGTACGTTAAAAAATTGTTGTATTAAATTATAGGAAAAAAAACATTTTTTCAAATGATGTCAAACCATAATTTAAAGTGTCAAAGTCGGGTTGAATCTATAAAAAAAAAATTTGAATGTTCGCCTTCTGAAAAAATCACAATTGACAACAATTTCGTTCAAGATAATAATTATTCTTTATATTCTAATCAAAATTCAAATGATTCGCGTTCAAAATCGGAAATAGTTTTAAAAGTAAACAATAATTTTAATAAAACAGATTCTATTATCAGTAATAATTGTAACAGTAAGATTCAAATAAAAAGAAGTCCTGCATTTCGTCGTGAAAAATTAAAAACTATAAAAACATTGGGAAAATTCCCATCTCAGAAAAAAGAAAAATCAATTTATTATTATTCGAGTAATTGTGTTAAAAAAATTGATGATAATTTAGATACGTTTGAAGTTGGAAAAAGTAAAAGTGAAAATCATATAAATAAGCTTAGTGCCTCAAGAATAAATTATTTCAATAATTCAAATTCAACCTCAAAAAATAATAATAATAATAATAATTCAGAAATTGAAAATGATAGTGATAATGTGTCTTTGCCTGTTGACAATACTTCAATGACAACCATATCTTATGCTGTGGTTAATAAACCGAAAAAAGTACAAAAAAATGAAAAAAAATTAAACGAATGTAATTTAAAATTAAGTGATAGTTTAAAAAAAGCTTTACAGTCTCCATTACCCAAAGGTCCTCCACCTAAAAAACCCCCAAGAACATTTTCTTACGATTTGGTAAATGATAAATCGACCACAAGTTCGAAACTTCACAAACTTGACAAATCTTTAAGTTCAAAAGAAATAAGCAAACTTCAACTGAAATTAAAAAAATTAGAAATAGCTTTGAAAGTACATGACAAAAATTTTGATAAAAAACTTGGAAATAATGGATTTAATAATGATGATATTGGAAAGTTTAAGGATCCATCATTACAAACAAATGAAAGTCAATCATTACCACCAAGTTCTTCTCAAATTAAAGATAAAAGCCTGAATTGTTTTTCATTTCAAAATTGTTTTAATTTAGATGATGAAATCAAGTACAAATCATTTTTTACTAATAATGATGAATCTCATTTAGAATATAGTAAAACTGAGTCTGATAATTGTACAATGAGTGAAAACAGCAAAACTCTCGCAGTTGGTAAGAATGTGATTCTGGTAACTTTATTAATTTAAATTTTTATCATTATAACACATTTTTTTAATGAAAAATATTAATTAAACAGGTGATTTGATTGTAGAAAAAAAAAAATTAGAACCAATATATGATTTGCCATGTATTACACAAAATAATACTCAAACTATTGAAAATCTCAGCGAAGGAAATAAATATAATGTAAATGAAAAAGAAAAAGAAGGACTTCATTATTTAGTATGTTTTATCATTATTTAATTTCATTATTTACACATTTATTTATTTATTTATTTAATAACCATTATGTCATTAATAATAACAAGATAAGATTTTGTTACTCTTTCTTTAGTTATTAATCGTTTTGTTTCTTTTTTTTTTTATTAAATAATTTAATTATTTTAGTGCACTGATGTTGTAAATAAATTAAATCATATTGAAATACCTCAAGTATTTTTAAATAAAACAAATTCAGTAAAATTTAAAAATAATAGCAAACAATCAATTATCAATATAGATGATAATTTTGAATTTATTCATAATAAAGATTTTAACGAGTGCGAGTTTGAAGAAAATAAAAATTTCGATAAATGCTCTCATGTTAGTTTAAGAAAAAGAGAAGAAGAAAAAAACAGTAAGGAATCAGATGGAGAAGTTAATAGTAATTTTGATACTCAAAATAAAATACTAGGTGTTAAAAATTCAAAGATCTCTTCTTTTTTAACATCAAAAGGTAAAATATAAATAATTTTTAATGTAGTGTGTGTGTAACGGTTACATATATGGAAACTTTGTACTTTTTTAGGTAATATTACAAGAAACCAAGAAAAAACTGAAGAAAGTAATGGAGATACATTTTCAAAAAGTAATTTTGCCGATAAAGCATCATATGGTTTACTACATTATGTTCCATATTGGAAAACTATAAAGAAAAATGAATTTTCACGTTTGTTCGAATGTTGTTTACTCGTGGGACTCACTTTAGAATCCCAAAAAAATGTGCCTTATATAAAAAATATTTTTCCCCCAAATGTATGTGTCTCATCATTTTTAATAATTATTTTTTGTCTTCTTCTTCTTCTTAATTATAATTCAGTAAATTTTAACTCTTTTTTTCTTTGTGCTAATGTTTTATACTTGACATTTCAGGCAAAGCCACCTCCTTTAATAGAAGCACTTTGTTTTCCCGACGCTGGACATTGGCCGCCAAAATTAGAAAAGGAAGAAAGAGAAGAACAATGTTATTCTTTAGTCATCACCAATGAAAACGGTGAAAGAAAATTCGGTTACTGTCGAAGAGTTTTACCAGAAGGTAGCGATTTGTGTTTGCCATTGATATATTGCATCGTGACTTCTCACAGAGCCGATGGTTTTTTTTACAAAGTAAATTTATTTATAATAACTTTTAATAAATAAAATGAAATCGTTCATTGTTATTTACCCTTCTTTACTTCGTCTTTCAGGTACTGTACGAATTGGAATCCAGACACGGTTCACAGGGAATCGATGATTTTATTGCACAGCTTCACGAGGCTCCATTTCCGGGTCCTGGAGAAAGTTTAAAACTGAAACAAATTTTGGAAGAAGCAACGAAAGTTTTATCTCCGGCAAAGGATAAAAATTTAGGTTTCTTATTCCGACTAAAATTTATTGTGAAAGACATAATAATAATAATAATAATAATAATAATAATAATAATAATAATAATTCCTCATCGATTTTTTATAATTTACCTCCCTTTTTTTTTTTTGTTTTCCAGGTTCTACATTGGTGAGAAGACCGTGCGATACAAGACTGGAGGAAAAAAATTTAACGCAGTTATTCCAGTATTTGGAACTTCAAGTTTTTTTTAAAATATTTGCATCTTTACTGCACGAGAGAAAAATTTTATTAATTAGTACATCTATAAGGTAATGAAAAACTTTTGATTATTAATTAGAAATTTAACCGTTACTAACCGTTTTCATTTTGTTTAAAAAAAATAAACATGGATTTATTGTTTTTCCCGCCAACAGGAAACTATCAACATGCATCGAAGCATTGCAATCGACATTGTTGCCATTTTGTTGGCAACATACCTGCATACCCGTATTACCGATTCATCTTTTGGAAATTTGCGAAGCTCCGACTCCCTACGTCATCGGATTACTCAAAACGGAAAACGTTCACAAATCACTGTCGAATATAAATTTTGAAAATGTATTGAACATAAATTTTTAAACCGGAAACGAAAGAAATATCGATCGTTTTTAAACCCCTCTTTTTTTAAAAATCCATTCTTAATCTTTTTTGTCTTTTTCTTCCAGGGAATCATCGTGGATTTAGATGATTCGAAAGTAATCAAATCGTGCGGAGATGAAGATGTTTTAATGTGTTCGAAATTATTAAAATCTCTTAAAATCTCACTTAATTTAGCCATTAATTCAACCGTTTTACCAGATAATAGTAGAAACGTCATACTATCGGATGCTTTGATTGATTTTTTCGTTGAAAATTGCGGCCATTATTCGAATTTTATCGTGGCAAAAGAAAATGAAAAAATTTTTCAAGTTTGTTTTTATTTTTTTTAATGTATTTTAATTAATAACGATTAAAACTTTTTACTAATATTATTATTATTATTATTATTATTGTTTAGGTAAACGATTTTATAAAACATTCAACGTCGACGATAAGCCAAACATTTTTAAATTGGTTTACAAAGACTTCATTGTTTCAGGGATTCATACACGAGAGAATCAATCAAGTTCCCGAAGGTAAGTAAACACAAAAGAATTTTTCTTTTTTTTTTTTTTTTCTCCATTTTATTATTATTATTATTATTATTATTATTATTAACATTTTTTTTATAGATGTTTCCGTCAAATTATTTAATAAACGTGCGACGGAATCATCATGTTTGGATCATCATATAAAAAATTCCGCACCATTGGCAAATATCAATTATAAAGTTTTTAATAAAAAAGTCAAAACTTTAGGTGATAAAATAAAAGATTTTATTCAATGAAAACAAACAAGAAAAAAAAAAATAAGTTGAATTTTTTTCCTCTTTTTTTTTTTAAAATAATTATAAATAAATAAATAATAAATAAATAAATTTTCTTTTTTTTTTCTTATTACAAAACAAAATATTTTTATTTAAAAAAAATTTTTGCGGGAAAGGCAATTTATGATAAGGAAAAGCAAATAAAAAAAATTTAAAAAAAATCAAATAGTAAACATTAATATTAATAACAATAATAATAATAATAATAATAATAATAATAATAATAATAATAATAATAATAATTTTCGGATAGATAATAATAATTCGTTGGATCAAAACATATACATATATATTTTTTTTTTTTTGGCGCGTAAAAAAAAATAAGTACAAATGTATTTTGAAATAATTGACTTTATATTCTCCATCTCTCTCTCTCTCTCTCTCTCTTTCTCTCTTTTATTTTCATATATTTATTTATTTATATTTATACAAATGGCCGGATTTTTAACTGTTTTTTCTCCTTCTAATTATAACAAATTATGTGCGCGAGTATATAACATGTAATAAGGCCACTTATTATTATTATTATTCCACTTCTTCATCACTTTTTTTTTTTTTTTTGGGGGGGGGGGGGTAAGAATTTAATTCGCTGTAAAAAGAAAGTTCGTTATTTAATAATAATAATAATAATAATAATAATAATAATAATAATAATAATATTTTATTTATTATTTAAATAAAAAAAAAAACTCACTTGGCTATTTCTCTGGCTAGCATCGCGTTTACAACTAAACCAGTCCGAGATCTGCTCCTGTTTAATTGAGCTCGCCTTTCAGCTGAAAATCAAAAATTATCATTATTATTATTATTATTACACTTTTCCCCCAGAGATTTCCTTTCGATTGTTTATATTCGTTGGTCGTGCTTACCGCCCGCTACCCGTGGATTCGCTCTTGCTCTCCTTTGATCTCTCGTAAATGCGCTTCCGCTTTGTAAAGCTTCCAAAAGAGAATCCATGACTCCCTCTTGCGTTTGAGTGTTTATGTCGATGAGAGCCTTTTTCCTCGCCGCTCTCGCTTGCTTCTCTTGCTCCTGTTTTTCTCTCGATTCTCTTGCTCTCCTTAATTTCTCTTCCGTTTCCCTCTGTTTCACGTTGTCCTTGTGAGCTTGCTGTAAAAAATTTTTTAGAAAATTGTTAATTTACACTCCTTCTTGTAAACTTTCCCTTTTTCTTTCTGCTTTCTTTCTCCTCTTACTAGAAAAAGATCTTTGAATTCTTTAATATCTCCGAAAAATTCTTCCAGTGTGTATTTTGTCTTATCGAAAGCGTAAAATTCCGCCAAATCCGAATAGAGGGACTCCATGTTTTTAAACATGTTTTGTAATATTTCGCATTGTTGTCTCGCTTCTTTGGCAAAACTCTATTTTTTCAAATTAAGGCCAAAATTACTTTAACAAAGAGAGAGACAGAGAGACAGAGAGAGAGAGAGAGAGAGAGAGAGATAGAAAATTATTTATAAAAAAAAAGGATACGCTCATCGAAGTATAAAACAAATCATCATCGCATTGTGGAACTTTTGAATTTTGCAAATCCGTTTCTAAATTTTTTAAACTCGAATCCATTTGCCTGAGAGTTTTTTGAATGTTATCCATGGATACCTGAAAACGAGTTCACGTGACCCAATTATCAAACAATCGATTTTCATTCGATTCATTCAAAAAAAATTATCGCTCTCCTACCCTCGAAGCTCTATCGACGTGTTCCAATTGTTCGTGAAAATTGAGAAGTTCCGGAAATTTTTTTTCTATCGTTTCAACGAGAAAATGAAGGAGAGTCGTTTTATTTTCCACGTCTTTCGTCGATGTTAATTTTGGGAGAAAACTTATTTCGAATCCGAAAGCTTGTCCGTTCCTGGATCCGCTATTCATGTAATTCCCTAATAAAAGTATTAATTCTAATATTCGAGCGAATTTATTTGATCTTTTGACTTCTTCGCAAGCTGCAGTACCCGCGACAATGTCCTACAAAAAAAAAATAAAAAACATAATTTCCAATATACCATCATCAAATTGTTAAAAATTTTCCTCTCTGAGAGTATTACTCTTAATAAAGTACTCACGGGTTTTATTTCTTGTACTATTTCGGGAAACCTTTGGCGAAAACTTAAAGATTTTAATCGTGGATGTAACCTTTTTATATCTGAAATCTAATTTAATAAAATATATTTAGTGTAACATCTTTTTTTTTTGGGGGGAGGGGGAGGGGGGGCGTCGAAAAACTCACAGTGACGGCAAATTGTTCGGCTTCCGTTAAACTATCATATTGTGATATAAAGTCTTTTAATTTTCCAAGTTGATCAGGAGGTGGAAGATAATCTATTAGCTGCTTTAATATGTTTTCCGTTAGTGCAGTCTCATCGCAACGCAAAATACATTTTCTAACGTCTTTATACGATAAATGTTTCAACGATCCACCCAGTAATATAGAAATGTTATGACTCGATTTACTATCTAAAACTTTCAATTCATTTTTCCTTTTCAACGTTCCCATTCTGCAATTGTAAAAAACAAAAATTTTTTTTTTTTTTTTTTCCCCTAATAAATAAGAATAATTTTTTTTTTTTGTTACGCACCCCTCCGTGTCATCCTCCACTTTTTTAAGTACTGGTTTCGTTGAAAATTTTTCGGATAAACCTTCTAAAATATCCGGAGATGCTAATTTTTCTTCTTGGACTTTTACCCAAAAACTTTTCTCTGAAAGTTTTTGCGGAATGATCTAGAATTGAAAATGGAAAGATGGAACACGTGATGTAATACAACTAATTTCCACGTGTGAAGTCATTTAAAAATTCTTACCGCTTTCCAATTTGCTCTTTTTATCGGACGAATCGTATCCCACTTTTTTTTAGGTTTGAGACCATAAGGAAGAACGTCAGGAGGTTTCATAGGTGAAGGTCCTAGGAGACCTCCTGGAGGTGGTGGTATCATACCCGGCAAAGGAGGAGGAGGAGGTCCAGCTCCAGGCATAGGAGGCGGAGGGGGTCCGCCTGAAATCCCTGGCATCGGAGGAGGGGGAGGCCCTCCTCCCGGCATTGGTGGCGGGGGAGGTGGAGGAGGACCACCAATTTTTCCAGGGGGTAATTTTGATTGAATTAATTTAGCAGTTTCACTAAGATTCATCGAACTTCCGTCTCCACCACCACCACTCCGCCACCTTGTTCTATTTCTTGCAATCTTTTTTCCAACTGTAAATATCTCGCTTCTGATTCTTGCCTTTGGAGAATTGCTTCTTCTAACTTATTTTTCAAATCCGCCAATTTCTTTTCATCCTCAGCTTTTGACTCTTTCTCTTTAAAAATTAATTTAATAATTAAAAATTAATCTTATAAATAAAATAATCCGTTGTGAAATCTATTGAAAAAAAAAAGAAAACATTACCGACTAGATGATCGATTAAAGGTGCAACATCTATTTGAAATCTTCTATTTGCTCTAAAATCTGGATCACAACCTCCTTTATGCAAAACAATCTGAGATACGCATTCTTCAATCAATTTGTAATAAGCAGGCCTAAAAATCATTAAAAATCTTTAATTTGTTCACATTCATCATCCATCGAAAGTATGGGAAACATTTAATTACCTAATTAAATGATCATCCCTTATGAATAGTAAATGTTGGAGTATGCTAAGAAAATAAGGTTCGGCCGGACTTTCCATAACCAAATTTTTTAACATATCAAAACATTCGTTGACGTCATCAAATTCTAACCTAACTGTTGAATCGAATTTCTCAACCCATTCAGCAAAATCCGTTTCTTTGTGCTCGTTAAAAACATTTATTTGTACAATAAGATCTTCAGGCGCATCTTTTTCTAAATCCTAATGCAAAAAACGTATAAAATATATTAAAAATTTGACATTTTTTTTTTTTTTTTAAATTAACCTGATCGCATACTTCTTCCTGTTGGTAAAAAATTTACCTCTAACACGTCATAAAGACCGGCACGCATAATCTCATTTCGTAAATGTAACCTATATTCTAAATCATCAGTTTGGGTAACAATTGCATTTATTAAAGTTAGGCAAGCAACTCGTAAATTTTCATTATTTTTTGCCAACAATCCCTGTACGATGGGTTGAAATCTTTCTTTTCCTTTTATTTCACCCGACATCGTGATGGCTTCTACTACTTTATCGTGACCCACGGGTGGTATAAAACAGGTAGCAGCCAACACCTTCGATTACAAAAAAAAAAAAAAAATTATTATTAAATGAGTTAAAAATTATTTTATTTTTATGGGTTCATTTTAACACTTTGTGTCGCTTAAAAAGTTGTACCTGAACCACTTCGAACATAACTTTCGGCTTGGTAATATCGAGAGATCTTGCTAATACCGTCATGGCTCCTTTTTGCCCGAAAACTTTTTTTATTCCTATTGTATTGTTCATGATAGCACGTAGGCATCGAAGGCACTCATATTGTACTTTTTCATGTCTTGGATCACTAATAAAAAAAATAGGATTTAAATGTAACATTATTTAAACGAGTAATGTTTCCTTTCCAAAAGAAAACGTTTTTAGTTACAATTTAGGAAAATTTTTCATAACAATTATTCTTACTTTAAATAACATTCGTTTAAAACTCCTAATAATAGTTGAAGTCCTTCTGTTACAAACTCTTGAACCCAAGTCAAAGGATTATTTGTAAGAGCTATTCGAAGAGATTCAACACATGAATAACGTTTATTTAAACTCAATTCGGGTGTTGAAAGAAAGGCAATGTAATCGGATGGTTTATCAAATTTACTTTTGTTATCTTGCTGCAAATCAAAATTAAATTACCCTTAAAATTACAATTGCTTGTGTATTCTTGCTTGTGTGTTCTTTTCAGAAGACTCATAATTTACCTGAACTGAGTTTTTCCAATGAGAAATTAAAAGTTTTCTTTTATTCATCAGTGCCATTTCTCTCAAGGGTTGTTTTCTTTCTTCTGACAAATTCATATCTTGCTGTAAGAGCATTTAAACACAATTAATAAATTGATATACCCTTTCGATGAAAAATTAGTGTGATTTAATTCATTTATTTCGAAAAAACCATTTAACATACCAGCATTTCTTCAAATTTTTCATTAATTTTATTCTCATCCATCGTATTTAAAATGGCTTCTTGTAATTCATTGTCATTATATTCTGAATCTGATGTAGGCCTACTAACAACACTTGATCTATTACCTTTTTTAGGCCTCACAAAGAGGGAATCCAGCTAAAAATGAAATTATAAGTACAGTAATAACAAATAATAATTCACAAAAAGGGAAAACAGAGAAATATCGAGTAAAAAATATTTTCGTATAACTCATGATAATTTAAAATTTTACGTTTTAATTTATAGAATAATTAGGTACAAAAAAAACATAGATAAAAATTTATATGACTATTTGTTTATTTTCATGCATGTTTAAAACATGTGGTGTGCTATTATTTCGGTTGCAGAGGAGACATTTAAAAAAAAAACAATAGGTGATACAATACCAAGTGATGCACAAATTACTTATCTGTAAATGAATTTTTTTTTTGTTCATTTCTATATATTTCTATAGGTAAGTTTTATAATGACAATATTTTGCAAAAAAATAAGCAATATCCTTGGCAGTATCAAGTATCTAAAAAAAATAAAGGTTGTAACTTACACAACCAATTTTTAATAATACCTTGTTTTTTAAATATTTATACTGATTGCATGATTCACTGTTTTTTTTTTTTTTTTCGTTATTTAAATATTTAGAGTGCTTAACGATTAAAACTAAATTCATACTTATTTATACTTTTTTAAAAAATATAGTATAATATATTTTATTATACTATATATCCACATAATATATTCTAATTCAGTTTACTTAATAAATACTATGATATAATTTATCCGTTATAAAAAGCATTCGAATTTAATAACCCTAAATACTAAATTTTCTTTTCGAGATTTCATTTTTTTCGAATCGTCTAGCATCAGTATAGCATATTTAAGAGTGCAATTATTAATAATTTGTTTTATTTTTTTTTTCTCTAAATATATAGGTATTATTTAAAATAAAAACCCTGAAATTTATATCTAAAGTTTGATTACTTATTGGATTTAAATGATATTTCATAATCAAATGAGTCATACAAAGATTAAACTTTAAATTTGATAAGGTACTCACAAATTTCCCGCTGGACTTTAATTTTTCTTGCTTCGACATTTTGAATTGTTGAACAACAGATTATAAAACAAAATATATAATTATGTAGTATGCATGAAAATTTAAAAATAAAACTCAACTTTTAGTCTTGATAATCAAGAAAATCATTTGCAATTCATCAACACTTAACAACAGCAAAACTTAATCTGAAAAAAAAAATTATTAAAATCTCAAAATAACTGCTAATAAATAATTTTATATTAAAATTGAAAACTTTTTTTTACATACATACATACTTGTTAGTAATAAGCATCATCACACAAAATCAACAAAAAAAAAATTCAAAACCACACAAATTTAAAAAAAAAAAATCTTGTCATAATACTGTACATTAAAGAAAACGTAAAATTTTATCATATTAAAAAACAGACTTAATAAATTATTAATATTATAAATATATATATATATATATATATATTTTTAAAGTTTATATCAACTAATACTTATAATGATGTCATCTTTAAGAATAAAACTAACGAACACAAATTAGTCGGTATAATACTTTATAAATAAATAAAAAATAATCTGAACTAAAAACGGTAAAAATATAATTTTTTAACTAAAGTTATAGAAGAAATAATTTCAACTGATTGTTACAATTTTAAATTTTGTTACGCTATTTTATTTGTTTTTATTTAAATAAAAGCAATATCAGCCATTTTATCAACAAGTGGTCGAACCGCAGCAATTTTTTTGCGAAACGCATTTACGTAATAAAACACATTTAAAAATAAAAACATAATTTAGTAAAAAAATTTTCTAACTATAAATTATAGGATCAACAAAACGATTAAATTAAAAAAAAAAAAAAAAAAAAAAAAAGACAAAAACTCGTTAGGTTAAGATCAACTAGTGTGCCACGAAACGCCCTTGTTAACTGAACTTTCTTATTTCGCTAATTTTATCAGGGCCCTAAAATTTCTTAACCGAGCCAAATTAAGTTTCTTTCAAACGGAAATTTATTTTTAAAATCACCTACGAATGAATTAAGTAATGTTTAAATTCGTCAATAATTTAATAAAATTTTTAATAATATATAGAATTATTTTATTAATACATAATACAAATATAAGTTAAACGTGTAAATTTGCATAAAAATAATTTTTTAAAAATTCGCACAACGTCTCGCATGCATCCTCTTTGACATGTCATTGTTTATTTAAAAACGTTTTTTTTTTTTTTTTTTTTTTTTTTAAATTTTAATATGAATATTTTCTAAGTAAATAATTTTTAAATTCGTTACTAAATTTTCTTTTTAAAAGATTAAAATTATTGTAACGATTTGAGTTTTTCAAAAAAAAAAAAAAAAAAAACACTGAAATTTGAAAAATTCATAAATTATTGAATAATAATTCATAACTTTTTTTTAAATAATCATCATTTAATTTAAAACCAATAATTGAAACATTTAACCGGGTTCAAAATGAATAAATACCTGTATTATTTTACATGGTTAATAATCTTTAAAATATTTTTTTAGTGAAATTTAATAAAAGACAGAAAAAAAAGGGGGGGGGAAATTTTATATTAAAAAATTCAAGCGGCCATTTTTTTTTATTTTTTTTTTTGTAAGTAACTTTAAGAGTATATAAAAAAAAAAAAAAACTTCCAAAAGAAATTAATTATAAAGGAAAAGACAAGACCAAATCAGGTGCACACTTAAAACAACCTTGATTTACTTGAAGCCTATTTTTTTTTTTTTTTTTTGTAAATAGCCTAGAGTTCCAGTGAGTCACTAAGACATAAGGAATGCAGAAGTAGTAGTAGGACGTTTTTAGTTTATTAAAATGTTTCTTATTTAGGAATATAATATGACAATTATGGTACTTCACATAATTAATAGTATTTCGATTCGTGATAAAATGGTTCATAGAAAATGGGGGGCTAACGAACTACTTTTATGTTTTATTAGTATCTATTGAGTGATTACTTAGTGCAGTTTTTTCATTATACGTATATATATACGATTAGAAAACTGCATTTTGTAAATTTCTTTTTTTATAAAATGACAAAATAAAAATTATTTATTTATATATATATATATATATTTGTAAAAACAAATTTTTTTAAAAACAAATATTAGAAAAAACTAGTCATAACATGGCTCTTTTGGAATCTTGTTTCGGATGCAGTTTGGATATTTCGTCTGCTGCTATTGGTGTTTACCTTTTGGTGAGTCACAAAATATACATATAAAAATTATTAATTAACCTTAAAAAAAATATATTTTAATAATATTAAATGATATTTTATTTAAAAACAAAAGGATTCTCTAACGTTTTACTTCGTTTGTTATAAAAAAATAATTTCCTTTTGTTTTTAAATTTAAAATAAATTGGGGGGGAAGAAGAAAAAGAAAAAGAAAAACATCCCACGAAATTTCTTACTTTATTAATTTGTATTTTTTTTAAAAAAATTATTAAATAAATAATTTTATGTTTTTAATATTACAGAATTATGTATTGATAAAATATTTATTTCCAAAAAAAAAAATAAATTTAAAAAAATTATTATTTAAATATTCTTGAAAAATGACCCTCGAATAATAAATTAGAAATCGTTGCGTTATGCCAATAACAATAAGTTTATTTATTTATTTTTTTTAAATAAATAAATTTTCCCCCCGCTCACCCTACCCCCACCCCCCAAAACACCACGTTGAATTATCCTGTAATAATATTACATTATTTTTACAAAATTTTTTTTTTTTTTTTTTAAATTAAATAAAACACATCTAAGTGTAATATCATTATCATTATTAATCAAAAATTTTATTATTATTATTATTTAAAATAATTTACCTTTTATTTATTTTTCTTCTTAAATAAACAACTAACTAACTAACTAACTAAAAAAAAAATTTTAAAGTTTGTTGTATATCAAGCAACGATTATTTAAAAAAAAAAAAAATTTAAACAATTAGTCATTATTATTATTATTATTATTATTATTATTTTATTTAACGAGGTTCGGCTGGAATGACACAACATTTAATTAAGAATTATGTTTCTTATTATTAATACGTCCTCCAAAAAAAAAAAAAAAAAAAATTTCTATTTACTTTTGATTATGTCATTTTTTTTTTTGTAAAAATTAAAGTCATTTAAAAATCCTGGAACTAATATTATTATTATTATTAATAAATATTCAATGAAATATTTTTCCAGGGATTTTTAAATCTTTTTATGTAAAAGGAAATGAAGAATGATTGATTGATTGATTTAAAATTTTTTTATTTTTTTTGTCGTAGGTGGCTTATTTAATTGCACTCACAATTGAATTATGGTGGATGTTTGATAATAACATAGGTAATATTATTATTATTATTATTCAATTTAAATTTAAATTTAATACTCAATTTTTTTTTTTTTTATTTTCAGGTTCGTCTTCCATACCAGCCTACATATTATCATCAGTATATTTTATATTATTTATATTTTCCACCGTTCTTCTACGAGGATTATCAGTCGTGAGTATTATTATTATTATTTAATAATAATATGATGCATATCCCAACGTAAACGATTTTTTTATTATGTAAAACTGTGCCAATAAGTGATGTTCAACAACAATAATAATAATAATAGTAATAAAACCGATATTAAAATTTTAAATAAAATTTTTTTATGTACGTAATTTATATATGTAATTGGACGTAATCCAGAGAAGAGAAGAAAAATTTAGAGTATAAAAATTTTGATTATTATTATTATTATTATTATTATTATTATTATCGTATTTATTTATTTTTCGATAAGCGCAATAAAAAATAAAATAAAATTTTATTTAGAATTAACGAATTCGAGTATAAGAGAAAAATCGTTTGAAATCGACATTAGTTAATTGTTACAGAAAGAATAATAATAATAATAATAATGATGATAATGATAATGATAATAATAATAATAATAATAATTATTAATTTATTTTAGAAAAAACCTGCACCCTTACTCGTATGGTTATTCACAATGGGAGTTTTTTTAGGTCCAGAATCTGGACTCGTTTTGTACATCAGCATCCATCATTGGGTAAGTGAAATATTTTTTTAATTTTTATTTCAAACCCTTTAAAAATTATTATTATTATTATTATCATTATTATCAATAATCATTATTATTATTTATTTACAGAAAATCACTTCGATGAATGGATTAATAGAAGTAACATGTTGGGCATGTCGTCTTTTAGTCAGTGTAAGTAAAATTAATAATTTCTTATTATTAATAATAATAATAATAGTAAATAATAATAATAATAATAATAATAATAATAATGAATAATAATAATAATAAATAATAATAATAATAATAATAATAATGAATAATAATAATAATAATAATAATAATAATTTTTTTTATAACTTTAAGATTATAGGAATTATTTGCGTACAATCGCTTCAATCAAATTGGAGAGAAGAAAAAACTTTAATGCTTAAACTTGCATCTTTAAAGGTAATAATAATAATAATAATAATAATAACTTCACGCTCATTAGACTGGAAAAGAGAGAAAGAGGGAAAAGCATATATGAAACACACTCTCTCTCTCTCTCTCATTCGTGCCATTTTGTTTTTTTTTTTAAATTCGTTATTAGAAAGTTTTTATTGAATTTTTGCGTAAATAATTCATTACAGGGAGGTACCGGTTTATTTCATGTGAAACGAAATAAAAAAAATTCGAAGGAAGGAGGAGGAGGAGGAGGAGGGGGAGTCGAAATGTCAACGATATTAAAAAATCCTGATTATTCTTATAAAATAAACGAAAAAAAAATTAATGCAAACGATATTGAGAATAACGACGATGATTTTATTCCTAAAATTGAGGATTTGTGTCAAAATGGCGGCGGTGGCGAAGAAGGTCATCATCACGGTATTAATTATTTAACAAAAAATTTCAACGAATTCAACGCATCTAATTTTAATCCATCTTTTATGGATTATTCTTCTCGTATAATAACAACAATGCCGTATTTAACAATCAGGGAAAAACGATCGAGAAAATTCGATGAAAATTCACGTGAAAAAATAAAAGGTTTGTGTTCTTCTCTAACGGATTTATCCTACGATAATTTAAAATGCGTCGAAGTTTTACCATTTAAAGGATCCGATGGATGTTTGGATAATGGTGGCAATAACGTCGGATTTTCCCCAGAATCCGGAGTAAATAATTCGCCGGATAAAACGATAATAAAAAATAAAAATTTAAAAATATTAAAAACATTAAGTCCTTTCGTTAAGAAAAAAAAAACAAATCATCCGATAAATATATATCAAATAAACGTACCAAAGAATATAAAATCTTCAGGTGAAGATTTAAATTTAACAAATATTGATTATAGGCTGAGTAATATTTATAGGAATAGAGGAATGTACGCTTATGATAAAGATAGTAAAAAAATCGTTTTTTATCCTCCTGAATATTTTAACAAAAATTACGAACGTGGCGGTACGAGACAAAGATTAAATTCCCGTAATAGTAGTTTGAGTTGTTCTTCATTGGATTCCGAAGATATTAAACAAATAGGAGATGTTGCACTATAAATATATTTTTAATTAAATAGTTCAAATTAATGCTCAATTGTTTATGTTAAACAAATGATAAAAATAAAAAATGTAATTATAATATTTATTTATTTATTTAATTTAAATGTTTTTCGTTTTTTCGTATGACTTCTCTTTAAACTGCATACTCACAAAATATACTTTAAGATTTATTTATTAAAATTTAATAATAATAATAATCGTCAATTTTTATTTTACATTAATTTTATTTTTATTTTCTGGTACCGGTAGAGATTACGTAATTTTTTATTATTTATTTCGTTTGATTAACATCTTTTATTAATTATCGATCTTCATCGGTGTTTTCACATTCTCCAAAAATTATGGAACTTAATTTACTCGCGTATTCATTTTCTTCCTGAAAAATAAATTTTCAAAATTCAAAAAAAATTAAAAAATACAACAACCAATTTTTTAAACGATTTTATGATGCTTACATTAAATTCTTCTTTATTTTCTGAATTTTTTATAATGAAATCTAAAAGGGATTTAAAACGAAGTTCTGGCGTTCTAGAAATTTCTTGTGCCATAGAATTATCTTCAACAATGGCTAAAAGTGCATTCAATAAATGTTCTAAAGAAGGTGGATGACCTTCTTCGTATTTTTGTAAAAATACCGCTATTTGACTGATTAATTGTTCGACGTAACCCATATTTACTAGATCATCTAAACAAAAAAAAAAAAAAAATAAATGAATGAATAAAAGGATAACAAAGTTATCAGTAACATGTTTTCGTTTTCGAATAATCACATTTTGAATTGTGCCTACCTTTAACATGAGGTTTCCACTGACATATTGATGTTAACAAAAAAGCAGACTTAATATTTAATTTTTGTACATCTGTTTGCAATGCTCTTAACAAAACGGAAAAACCATCTGTGATAATAAATTCTTTTAAACCTTCCTCACTACCTCTGGCCAAACCTGAAAATTAAAATATATTTTAAATTTTAATGAAAAAGGTTTTTATTTTTGAATATTATCATAAATAAGGTTTTGATATTGAAACAATTATTCATTATCTTACATGATATGGCATACAAAGCTTTGACTCGAACTAGATCATCAATGTCGGAATCAATCATTTGTAAAAGTGTTGGTACTAATTTACTTTCTAAAACTTTATTTTGACAATAAGGATTGTTTTGACATAATTGGGCAATCAATTCTGCTCCCCTCCATCTTATACTAGAATGAATAGATTGTAAACATGGCTTAAATATGCAAAAACCTCCAATTTTGTGAAAATCTGAAATAAATCGACAACAATTTAACATATATATATATGTGTATATAAATATACTAAATATAATTAAAATTTCAGGTTGAAATATAATAATATTTTAATAAAACCAATTGTTTTCAGTAAATTTACCATTAGCAACATCTATGTTATCAACATAATCTAATATACTGTCTAATGCATCTTCAAATTTTGTAGAGTCCACACTTCCTTCGATTAAATTTGCACTTTGTAAAATTTTTATGTGTTTTAATAATTCTTCAACTATGTCAAGTGTCATGGATTTCAGTGCATTTTCTAAAAATTTTCTATCCTGCAAGTTAAAAAATGACAGTTTGTAAATAAATAAAAAATGTAAAGTATATAACTGTATAAAACTACATAAAAATGATAAACATTTTTATTGAAACACACGAACCTATTGAAAAATAAAACAACAACAATTATTACACAATATATACAAACCTCCTCACTTAAAGTTTGTAAACAATTTTCATTAGATTCATGTCCCGGAAGGTTTGCAGCTTCTGTTGAATAACGTAAAAGATCCTGAAGATTTCGTGGAGGACGAGGTTGAGAAGCAATGGGTATTTCCTCTGAATTTGAAGATCTTTCAACTTCTCTTACACTCACTAAACGGTTATCAGTTTGTTCTCTGTTGCTCGACATATTTGAATTTCAATAAATTTTAAATAATAAAAATCTATTCAATTTAAAACCGAAATACTAATTAATTAGTCGATTTTTAAAGCGCGCAAAAACTTTAATAATAAATTTACTATTTAGACTGTGCACGACAGCCTACACAATCATTAAATAATATCAACTAAATAATATTTTAAAAAAAAGCACCGCCTTTTAAGATTTTCAGTAGCATGAGTAGTGATTCTAAGAAAAGTTATAATGACTAATACATAAGTTTTCGGTTTTGCAATATCTATATTTATTATTTTATTCTTCTTAAAGTTGCCGTCTATTTTGTTAAATAATTAATAATTTCTGAATCAAATTTCTGAAATGATCATTTTCCGAATCAAAAGACAATAACTTTTAAATAAAACTAAAAAATATTTCAAGATGTCACCATTTTGGCGCAATTTTCGTAATGTCGGAAATGTACGTCATAAGTTTCGTTAATTTTCGAAAAGTAAGTTGTAAGTATTTTGTAAAAATATATCATTCTATTAAAATAATAAAATATAATTTCTTAAAGTTAGTTTTTGTGTGTATTTACAAGTAATAATTTATTGTGTCTTCAATTAATTTAAAGATTTTACCCAATTATAATTATCATTTTTAAAAATCGGTTAATTAGTTGAAATTATATGAAAATGCTCGAAAAACATTTACTTACTTATTTTTAAATATTTACATTTTAATAACGAATCAAAGGAAATGATATCCGTTCGAGAAAGTAAGTAAAACGTAATCATTAAATAAAAAACAATAAATTTTAAATTAAAACTTTATTTTAAGCATGTAAAAAAAAAAAAATTTATGAAACGTTCATTTCCATTTCACCTTTTTTAAGTTGTTTGTGATCTTCTGTAAGTGGAGAAAGTTTTGGACAGAAAAATCTCGTGTACGTAAAACCCCAAACTAATCCAGCTAATATCGGTCCGACCCAGTAAACCTAAAAATTTATTTTCAAATAATTTACCACGCCATAATTTTATTACCCTTAAAGTAATCAAATGTGAATTTATCTGTACCCAATGATCCTTCCATGTTTGATTCCAAATGGCTGGCCCAAATGATCTTGCTGGATTCATGCTGCATCCGGAATAAGCTGCCTGTTAAAGTTTATTAAAATATTTTTAAATAATTTAATAAGTAAAATTAAGTAATTTGTAAATTTTATTTTTATACATACTCCTGCATAAGCCAATGAGAAAACAGTAAAACCAAATTTCAAACTCAATGATTCGAAATGACTATTTCTAGGATCCCATGCAGAACAAACAACCAACAGTAAGATTGATGTAAATAAAAATTCAGCCAAAAGAGCTCGAGCTGCTGATATTTCCGGATGCGGCACTGTTGTACACACACCATATTCTTCAAAACCATTTGCGTGTAAAAGATTAGAAGGGTTAACGGCCTAAAATATTCAATCATTCATTAGTTTTTCTTTTTATTATGTAATTTCATTTAAGTAAACAGCCATACAAAACCTTTAAAAGTCCATAACCAATCACTGCTCCGATGAGTTGTCCCAGTATATAAACAGCAGCCATTGGAAAATTTAATTTTTTAAAAAATAAACTCATAACTGTCACTGCAGGATTTACATGACTTCCACTGTTGTTACAAGTTATCTAAAATTAATTTTTCATATAATCACAAATTTCCTTAATTTAATCCCCCAAAAAATTATTATTTCATTGATTTTTAAAAATAATTTACAATACCTGTACTGCAATGAAAACAGCTAAACCGAAAGACAAAACAACACCCATATGGTCACCTGGTTGTCCCAAACCTTTACAAACTCCTAAACAACCTAAAAATACCAAAGTTGCTGTTCCTATCATCTAAAAACAAAAAAAAAAAAAACCACTTTCAAATAAATATAATTTTCACTCGAAAACAAACAATGATGATGATGATGATGAACGAATAAAAATTTATTTACCTCACTAAAAAAATGTTGTGCCATTGTTTTTATTATATTTTGAGTTCTTGTATTCATCTTGATGTAATGAAACTAATCTGAAATGAACAAAAAAAAAATAAAATTTATTATTATATATATATATATATAAATATCAAATCATCCTGGGAAAAATTTTTAGGTATGATGATGATGAACTTTTTTTGTCACAAATCCCCCCATTGTAATTATGTTTATGTGATTTTTATATAATTTTGTAAAAAAAAAAAAAATTATTTACAGGAAACTAAAAAGAAGAGAATGAAGCGTTAATGGCATGTCAACCTTGTCAAATGTGGTTGTCAACAATTAAGAATCTGGGCTTAAAGGTATCTGAAGGAACTCAAGGAAAAAAATTCATGACACAATATGTAAGTACATTTATTATCAAGGCGTCCATTGTTATAATTTTTTAAAATTATTCTTATCAATACTCATCATAATATAATTTAAAATAATAAGGGTTCTTTTATATAAAATAAGGAAATACACGACATTAATGATAATAATAATTATCAAATATGAATTTTTTTTTTAATTTTCTACAGTACACACGTTATTGTTATGAGTACCGAGTTATTTATCAAGTTATTTAAAAAAAAAAAAACTCATTTTTTTACGCTCGTGATTTTTCTATTTTCTATCCAATCCCGTAAAATTTTGAAAGAGAAGAAGGTAGAATACAATTTATTTAAATTTTATCTTTAAAAGTAATAATAATTTGAGTTAAAAAAAAGAAAAATTATTTTGAATAGGAAAATTTAAAATTGTTGAAAAATTTGATATATCGAAAAACTTTGAATGAATTTTAATAAATATTTCGAGATTTATTTATTTTTAGTTACGATAAGTTAAGTTCAACGGTTTCAAAGTTCTAAATAAATTTTTTTTTTTTTTTAAAACGGTCGGGGGTATCTTAAATAATTTGAAAAAAATATTTCAAGTACTTGTTTTCGTTAAATTAATAAAATAAATTTTTTTAACACTCAAATAATAATAATTTCTCTGTCAAAAAATCGTTTTTTATTGTTTAAACAAAAAAAAAAAAAAAAAAAAAACAAGAATAATTTTTTGTCAAAACAAATTTATTTATTACCGTTGGTTATTTTTTTTTTTTTTTTTTTTTTTTTTTGGCATTGATACTCACAATTAAAAATAAAAAAATTTAAATTATAAAAAAAAATAACAACATTTTTTTCACATAAATAAAACATTTGTGTTAAACTTTTTAAAAAGCCACAAAAAAAAAAAAATTTTCACTTTTTGTAAATTTAAATATTTAAATTCAAAAAAAAAAAAAAAAATTTGATAACTCATCCGGTCCGTTGATAATTCATTCGAATAAAATACATAAAATTAATAATAATATTAAAAAAAAAAAAAGTTTCATAAAGTTTATTATGATCGAATCGTAGATATTTCAAATTTATTAATAATAGGCTTTCTATTTAATTGACAAATTAATTAATTAACAAAAATATTAAAGAGACATCGACAAAAACAACAACAACAACAACATTATCGTTTTTTATTATTATTATTCTTAATAAATAATAATAATAGGTTACGAGTTTAAAAAAAATTTAGTAAAAATTATTAATTTTTATTTGTAACGTTTAAATAATTTTATACCTGATAATATAAGATAAAAACAAAATCGATCTCGAAATTAATTAAAACAATTATTAATGTTTCAAATTCGATTGATAAATTAACAATGACAACAACAACAACAACAAACTTTCTAATAGCCTTTCTTTAAATAAATAAAACACAAGTAATATAAATAAATAAATAAATAAACTCACTGTTTCGTTTGTTTGCTATCAAAAAAAAAAAAAAAAAAAAAAAAAATGGCGAAAAATTTAGTTTTAATTTCCTTTTTGACTGAAAGAGAAATGAAGCATCTCCTCTCACACTCTTCTTGGCTTCTGCAATGATAAAAATATTAAGTGTATATGTCACTAACAGGGCCGGCTTGAAGATATTTTATTTATTTATTTATTAACTTTTATTTTCTATTTAATTTTGTATTGTTGTTGTTGTATGTAATTTATTTAATAAGTTTGTCATGTATTTTTTCGATACAATTAAATTTAATTATTGTATTTGAATTATTCAAGGTGATTATGAATAAAGTACTACTACTACTACCCGTTTTTAAATAATTATTAACTATAAGAAAATCTCTCAAACAGAGAGAGAGAGAGAGAGAGAGAGAGAGAGAGACAGAGAGAGAGAGACAGAGAGAGAGAGAGACAGAGAGAGAGAGAGAGAGACAGAGACAGAGAGAGAGAGAGACAGAGAGAGAGAGACAGAGAGAGAGACAGAGAGAGACAGAGAGAGAGACAGAGAGAGAGAGAGAGAGAGAGACAGAGAGAGACAGAGAGA